TACAGGTTATTTAAAAAGATCCAGCACAGGTGTGAGCACTTCCTTATGAGCGGTGGATCATGGATGCTCCAGAAGCACAAAAACAATACAGTCTCTCACTATTCCTCTGGTGGATTACCACCAGAACTATTTGATAAAATCCTATTGCTGAAGATACCACACACCTTCAATACAAGAATATAGAGAATTCAAGCTGGCACTGAGCTGCAAACCTTATTCCTATTAGCTACCTTTCATTGTGCCAGAAGGTGCAGAGAATAAGTAAAGGCAGAGACTCATGTCTGCTCAAAGTGCTGAAAATAAGTGATAGCTTCACACAGGACACCTGTACCATCCCCTTTAAAACTCAAGAAACATCATGGAATAGGGGAACCAAAAAGAGCTGGAAGATATGGGAGAAGTCTATGAAATGCTAGATTATGGGCATGGCATAGTATGGTGGTTTGAATAAAAATGGCTCCCATAGGCTCATATATTTGAATGCTTAGTCACTGAGAAATAGAATTGTCTGAAAGGATTAGAAGGATTAGGAGGTGTAGCCTTGGAGGAAGTGTGTCACTAGGGAAGTACTTTAAAGTTTCAAAAGCGTACACCATGCCCACCCAGGCTCTTTCTCTCTGCCTATAGCTCAGAGTGTAGCTCTCAACTTCTCCAACACCACACCTGTCTGTCACCATGCTCCCTGCTATGATGATAATGGACTAGGCCTCTGAAACTTTCAGTAAGCACCCAATTAAATGCTTTCTTTTATAGGAGTTGCTGGGGTCATGTTGTCTCTTCATCATATGAGAACACTATGACAGACGTTGATGCTAGGAAGGGGGTATTGCTGTGCCAGGCCTGACCATGCTGCTTGTTGGTGGACTGTAGACTTTGGAACTTTGGATTAGGAAAGTAGTAAATACTTTAAGTGGGGCCTAATAGGTCAAACTACCAGGAACATGGAAAACAGTGGTGCTGAGAGCAATGGAAATTATGACAGCCAAGCTGAAGAAGTTTCAAGGGGGAAGAATATTAGGAAGTGGCCTAAAAGACCATTCTTGTGATATTTTGGCAAAGAATGTGGCTTCATTTTGTCCTTGTCCTAAAAGTTTGCCTGAGGATAAATTGAAGAATTTTAGATTAATGACATTGACAGGGGAGATTTCAAGGAAGCCTAATATTGACTACATCATGTGGTTATTCACTTTTCTGCAGACCTATAATGAAAGGAGAAGGACTGACAAAGATAATAAAAAATGTACAGTTTGGGGAGAAAAGGAGCACCAGAAAATGTAATGGAGCTAAGTCCACTGCTTAAGGAGATAAAAAGTTTAAAGAATAAAACGTATTCGTGATAGTATTCGGTAATAATTTTTAGGTATATATAGTCGAAAATACCTCTAATCATTCCTTAAATATATCACATAAACAAGGAGTGCTGCACAGGTCGTGCTTTATTTCATACCACCAACTTTGTGTTATCCATAGCAGTTTTAATATATGAGATAAAATGTCCAATATGCCTTGTGAATTTGGAAATATATTCACATGTTTTTTTTGATTGTTTGTTTGTTTTCCCTCCTTTTTTTATTTAAACTAGAAACAAGATTGTTTTACATGTCAATCTCAGTTCCCTCTCCCTCCCCTCCTCCTCTGCTCCCCACTAACACCCTACTTATCCCATACCATTTCTGCTCCCCAGGGAGAGTGAGGTCTTCCATGGGGGTGGTCTTCAGAGTCTGTCATATCCTTTGGGATAGGGCCTAGGCCCACCCCAGTGTGTCTAGGCTAAGGGAGTATCAAGGATAGGGATTTATGTTTCCATCAGCATATAAATAAAATGTAATAAAAAGAGAATGCGTGCAAAAAGTCAAGAATAGGGTGTGTGAAATTTCTTTACACTGTGTGAATATATGTCATTGTGATGGGTATAATAAAGAGAGTGACTGGCCTAGAACTAGGCAGGATAGTTAGGCAGGAGAATCAGACTAAAAGAGAAAAGGAAGGAGTTTCAGCATTATGAGAAGAAGTAGAGAGGCAGAGATGAGGTTGCTTTACTGAGAAAGGTTTCAATCATGGTGTCAGAGCATACATAAATATTATGGCTTAATCTAAAATCTAAGCGTTAGCTATGAACCAGACTGAGATATTGGCTGAGCATATATAGTTAAAAAGTCTATTTGTGGTTATTGGGAACCTATCTGGTGGTTCCCAATACTATAGGAACTATGCCATCAAATGGAGTTATGACATTGGGCAGAAATTTCCACAGAAGACCTAAACATGCTTTTAAAAAGGTTCTAATATGCAAAAGAGAACCAAAATCAGCTTCCTTCAGACTGTCTTTCTTTGGATAACCTTAAGGATAGAGGCAAACAGAGGAATGACTCCTTAATAGTTGGCTTCTGGACATTAAGGGAATGGCTCTGTTATGAGGTCATTCTACCAAACAAATAAATGAGGTTTTTGAGCAGTGATCAGTAACATGCTTGGTGTCAGCATGGACCCAACAATTTCCCAGAGCTTGAACTGCAAACAACTGTGTTATGAAGTTACATCTCAGACAACCAATGGTGGGGGAGATGTCTGCACCAATGGTGGGGGAGATGTTGCCTTGTGCCAACACATACAATAAGCTGACCTGTATTTATCTGAAACTAACAGATCAGTTGAAGGTTTGCCTCAAACAGACAAAGAACAAAACAGATGATCAATAAAGATAGAAGAAAAAGTTTAAAGAAAAGTCTGATGCTAAATGGAATAAAGGGAGTGGTGACCTTATGGACGACTCCACCTACCTTAGCTTCCAACTTGTGAAAAGAGAAGCTCAAGCAGTTAAAGAAATCATCAACAACCGAAAGTTGATGCAAATGTAATTGAACAAGGAGGCCAAGTTCCAGCCCCATCAAGCAGCAACTTTGCCAATTTGTTTTGACTTTAAAATCAAGGATACAAGAAAGGAGTAGTGGATACCAGGCATCTGTCAGGGGTGTTCCTAAATGGAGGCCCAGAGAGGCCATTGCTTCAAGCTCTGAAGGTGAAGCCTGGATTTGAAACCTGAGAGACCACAAGATGTTGGAGATGGCAGATGTTGGGATACTTACCAAGGAGAGCTGAGATCAGATGTGGAATCAGCCCAAGAAAGAGAAATGTGTTGTAGTCAACACAAGTGAAAGGACTTGGAGATTTGAAAAACACTTTTACATCAGACACAAAGATAAAGTATTTGAAATTTGTCCTGCTGGATTTTGGTCTTGCTTTGATGCAGTACTTCCTCCCTATGTTCCTTTCCCTCCCATTTGGAATGATAATGTATATGTTCCATGAAAATGTATGTTGGAAGTATTGATCTGTTTTTTGATTTTGACTTTAGAGGAGGTTAAGAGTTAAGGCATTGCCTGGGAGGAGGACTGAAAGGTTATGTGAACTTTTGATGCTCGACTGAATACATTTTTGCATTATGACATGACTACAAGCCTATGAGGGCCAGGGAGTGGAATGTGGTGGTTTGAATACGAATGACCCCCATAGGCATAAATTTGAATGCTTAGTCACCAGGTAATAAAACGGTTTGAAAGGATTAGAAGAATAAGGAGGTTGGCCTTGTAGCAGGTATAGCTTTGTTGAAGAAAGTGTGTGACTGGGTAGTGGATGTTAGTATTCAGGCATCTGTACTGGCCTGCCCTTGGGGTTCTGACAGGATACACCCTCAGCTGTAGCCACTAAGAGCACCTTCTGTGCATATTCACTATGTTCCCATGTAAAGGACCCTGCTCACCTCAACTGTCAGTTCATCCTATTTACTTATTTATTTTCTCTCCCTCTCTCTCTCTCTCTCTCTCTCTCTCTCTCTCTCTCTCTCTTTGTCTCTCTCCCCCATCTTTCCCCCTCTCTCTTTCTCTTCCTCTTGAACTACTCTTGTCCCCAAGGACAGGTCTCTTCCCCTTTTCTGCCCCTTCTCTCTCCTCTTCCAATAAATCTATGTGAGTCCTGTTGTATGGTGTGACTTCTCTTTCAGATTTTAAAAAATTACAAAGGTGGGTTTCAAAATTCCCCATGCTTGGCCCAGTTCTCTCTCTTGGCCTGCAGATTAAGATGTAGCTCAGCTACTGTTCCACTGCCATGCATGCCACCATACTCCCTGCCATGATGATAAGGAAATAATCCCCTAAACTGCAAGTAAGCCTCCAACTTCCTTTTTTAAGAGTTGCCTTGATTATGGTGTCTCTTCACAGCAATACAACAGGGAATAAGACACATAGCTATTGAAATCATAATCTCACAGTGGTTACTGTTGCCTGTACTGGGCCTGGACAAGAGTGGGCCAGTCACCAGTCAAGTATGGATCAGGGATTCATTAAGACCATAACCATTCTTGCATAAGTATTAGCCACAAGTGGATTCTAGGGTAAAGGAAGTCATTGTTAATCAGTGGTGAGTTTACTGGACTCAAGGGATAATTTGAAATGCATTGTTACACAGATGGCCCTAGTTAAACTCAGCAGGTCACAAGACAAAAAAACAAAGACAGGAATGTGAGAAAGGGACTCACTTGTAAAGAAAAGAGAGGATTGACAGGGTTGGAAGGGAGAGAGGAGAGAGTGGGGTTAAAAGTAACCAGAATATATTATGTACACATCCATGAAATTGTCAAAGAAAATCAGTAATAAAGGTTATATAATACATATACAGCCAATTTATTAATTTTAATTTATAGCAAAGCACCCTTCCAATCTCGGTCTTTCATTGCTTAGTAACTCCTTAAAATGAAGCCTAAAGGAATGACCTATGATCACTTTTCCATTTGGTCTCCATCTCTTACAGATTTGAGGTATGTCTACTTCATCCTCCTCACTTAAGCCTTTTAAAGGAGTCAAATGAATCCTACCTATTCAAAGATTCTCTGCACTCCTAGTCTGGCTTAAAACAGAACACAATTCATCATTTAAAACTCAGATGGTCCAGCTCTCACAGCCATTGCAGTACATTGAGCTCCATAGAGACAGCGCTGGGGCAAGTGCGAGCCGGACGGGCACTGGGCGACTCTGTGCCTTGCGGATGAAAATCAACTAAACATGGGCAAAGGAGATCCTAAGAAGCCGAGAGGCAAAATGTCCTCATATGCATTCTTTGTGCAAACTTGCCGAGAGGAACACAAGAAGAAGCACCCGGATGCTTCTGTCAACTTCTCAGAGTTCTCGAAGAAATGCTCAGAAAGGTGGAAGACCATGTCTGCTAAAGAAAAGAGGAAATTTGAGGACATGGCAAAGGCTGACAAGGCTCGTTATGAAAGAGAAATGAAAACCTACATCCCCCCAAAAGGGGAGACCAAAAAGAAGTTCAAGGACCCCAATGCACCCAAGAGGCCTCCTTCGGCCTTCTTCTTGTTCTGTTCTGAATATTGCCCAAAAATCAAAGGAGAACACCCAGGCTTGTCCATTGGTGATGTTGCAAAGAAACTGGGAGAGCTGTGGAACAACACTGCTGCAGAGGACAAGCAGCCCTATGGAAAGAAGGCTGCCAAGCTGAAGGAGAAGCACGAAAAGGGTATTGCTGCTTACAGAGCTAAAGGAAAACCCAATGCAGCGAAAACGGGGGTGGTTAAGGCAGAAAAGAGCAAGAAAAAGAAGGAAGAGGAAGATGAGGAGGAAGATGAAGAGGATGAGCAAGAGGAGGAAGAAGAGGAAGAGGAAGATAAAGAAGATGATGAAAATGATGAATAAGTTGGTTCTAGCGCAGTTTTTTTGGTCTATAAAGCATTTAACCCCCCTGTACACAACTCACTCCTTTTAAAGAAAAAAACTGAAATGTAAGGCTGTGTAAGATTTGTTTTTAAATTGTACAGTGTCTTTTTTGTATAATTAACATACTACCGAATGTGTCTTTAGATAGTCCTGTCCTGGTGGTATTTTCAATAGCCACTAACCTTGCCTGGTACAGTCTGGGGGTTGTAAATTGGCATGGAAATTTAAAGCAGGTTTTTGTTGGTGCACAGCACAAATTAGTTATATATGGGGACAGTAGGTTTATTTTTTCTGTTTTTTTGTTTGTTTTTGTTTTGGGTTTTTTTTTTCCATCTTCAGTTGTCTTTGATGCAGTTTATACAAAGATAATTGTTCTGTTAACTGAATACCACTCTGTAATTGCAAAAAAAAAAAAAAAATTGCAGCTGTTTTGTTGACATTCTGAATGCTTCTAAGTAAATACAATTTTTTTTATTAGAAAAAAAATCAGATGGTCCAAACAGCCCATGTTTCTACTTTTTAGTCATAATCCTCTACTACACAGTAATTATTTTCTAATAATAATTAACACTACATCTAAATATCCATTTGTTTATACTGCTATTCCTCGATTCTTTTTTTTTTTTTACATTTATCTGAAGTACTCCTGCTTTGATGACTCAAGGTTCAGCTTTAAATGAATAAACACATTCACTTTATCACATTTTATTTCTCAATATCCTTACTTCCTTTGGTTTCATCATTACTACATGTCATTCCCCAAACAAATTATCAAACCATGCAAACATGAAAAACTCATTTGTTAGTTTGGTTTCATCATTTTTCATACAAAAGATGATTCTTCAAATGTAATATGTCTTTGTCACAGAGCTAACAAAAATCTATTACCTGTCTTATATTTACAGAATCTTATCAAAATAAAGTTAATCAGATAATTTCAAGATTCCATAAGTACACATTCCACACCAAAATAAATAACCTATAAATAAATATAAGTTTTAAAATATTTGCTTCATTAATCAAAGCATGATGCCAATTGCCAATAAGTTTCTTTCTTTCTTCCTTTCCTTTTTTTTTTTTTTTCCCAAGACAGGGTTTCTCTGTGTAGCTATGGAGCCTATCCTAGCACTCGCTCTGGAGACCAGGCTGGCCTCAAACTCACAGAGATCCGACCGCCTCTGCCTCCCGAGTGCTGGAATTAAAGGTGTGCGCCACCAACATCTGGCCTCAAAGTTTCTTTCTTTACCTAGCAAATAATCTATTGAATACCAGGTACCAAATTTCAAATGAAATAAAAAATGGTATGTGAAATTTTACTGATAGATTATAACTGAGAAATGCTATAAAACCACAATTTTAAATGCACTTGGTAGTGGAAAACTAAAAGTCAATGTAAGTGCTCAGTGGGTATTAACATTGGGTTTTTGCATAAGTAACCAAATGGAAATAAATGCAATGTTTCAAAGTAAAAATTCTCATGGAGGCTTTTCTTGATGTGTTCCTATGACCTTGGCATGAGAGTGCCAAAAGATGAATTCCCCAAGACAAGTGAGGTGTCAAAGAGGCCAAAGGCCATGGCATTACGGCACGAGAATAGCACAGTGAGTAAGAGCTATCTGAATTTAAAAGTTGCCTATTTCAATAATCTGCTTCATATGTATACTTGCTCAAATGTTTCACTTCTTCAAGCACAGCAACATAGCTGAAAACAATGTCTTTAGACTTTAGGGATCCAAACAGTACAGTTGACACCCCTGTCAATATGGCCTTTAAATTTACATTTAAATTTACATTTAAATGTAAATTTAAATTTACATGTGAGACACACAAATCTAAATACCTAAAGATGATTTTCCCACTTAAGTCATTCTTGATTCTTCGTCTCCATCCCATCTTGAAATTGAAAAACAAAGCTTTCTAATGCTTTGAGAAATGATTTCCACTTGTTTTCAGCACTTCTAAGGACATCGTGTGTCAGAGAATGGCATGGAGTTTCTAGTGCTATCCTCAGCAGAGGTTTTTTGTATGTTTTCCTTAGTCCCTATCTTACAGTGAAAGTGGATGAAACATTTGCCCAATACAATTTAGAAATTAAGTGAAATGTTAGTAGGAAAACTCAAAATGAGTTCAATGTAAGGCAATGATTTGAAGAGAAGCTGTGAGCATGGTATCACTATTTCTACAACTGTCCCTGAGAATATGTCAGTTATTAGCCTTCACTATGAACAAAATACTAGAATGGAAATGTTTTGTCCTCTGTCTCCTGGTGAGCATGCTTTTACTCTGAGAAAATATAACAAAACATTCTTTGTTCCCCTCCAGCTAATTAGATTGGTTTATGTTTCATGAAAAAGCATCTAAAATATTCACAATGTAAGTTGTATGAAGTCAAAACTGTTGAAAAGCCCACTAGGAAAAAAATTAACAAAAGGACTTGATAGAAAGTCAGGAAATTTAATCAAATTTAATCCATGTCCATACAATTATTCTAGTTGCTATGAATAATGAGTATGGAATCTTACTTCCTCTTAGGTGTAAATTATACCTTAATTTATTTTAGTTCCAGGATTCTAATAGCATATCTTTAGAGCAAACTTTAATTCCAATTCTAGTATTATACATGGACCTTCCAAGATTCTTCTATAATCAAGGAAATTGCATACTTACCAGCAGCTAATGTTCAGTGAAATCAACATCTCTACCTAAATGTCTCATTAAGAAAAAAAAAAAAAAAACTATCTCATATTCTTTCATGTGTAGCCTTGGGTATCTTATAAGAATATTGAATGTTGACTCTTCTTGAAAAGCTGTCCTTTATGTCTGAAGCCATATGGTTGGTTACCATTTAACAGTATTTTATACACTCATATAATAAATTCTTTATCAGAAGAGGAACTTGGAATCCCCCATCTTGTATCTTGATTCTTTATTGAACATATCTATTATCAAAAATCCCGAGTTTTGACATAAAAATTTCATCACAACTCCTCTTCTTTCTTGCCTAAAATTTTGGTAACTTACTAAGAAAATATGTCAGCAGAGAACCTTGAAAGTTCATTAATTAGTGAACTAAATTAAGAACTTAAGAGTAAAATGTCTGTTTGACTATGAAAAGCTACCTAATAACATGGCTCTCATTAAACTTTGTTATATGGAACCAAAAGCATGGTATTGTAGTCATGGAGAGACCTTGTATCTACTTAGTGAGTAGTTGCATTGAGACCAGGATTTTTCCTCATTCACCAAATAACTGGACACAAGACAGTACTTGGGGTGGCTGTTTGTGCTATAAACAACAAAGCAAAGATGAAAAGAGTCACTAGGCTCTATTAGCAAGATGAACCAGCTCTCCAAAACTAAGTCCCTTTATGAAAGCTGCTATGAACTGAAACAGCAAAGGCTATACGATAGTTGAAGTAGGAAGGTTAGAGATACTAGAGAGTGTCTTTTGACTTTGAAGTCTTTATGTTGAGGATGCCATTATATATCAAGTATAGAAACCCAGGTAGTAGCTAGAAGCACAGTTTGAGAGTCTAGGAAATGTAAAGAACAGAAATACACATTTAAGTGTTATTGCATAGTATGGTGGTAGAAATGCAACATTCTCAAGGAATGGGAAGAAGAAAGGACAGGAGAGAGAGGGAAGGGAGGGATAGGGGAGGGGAGTAAATACAGCTAATTGAAGGATACCTATATTATCACCCTTTTTAAATTATTAATGATTTGTCAGTTAGGAAGAAAAAACTTAAAACTCAGCAATCTCAACTTAGGTTACCAAAATGTATTCCAATATACTACCTGGGCAAGAGGAAAGGAGGAGGCTGTCAGGGCATTATGAATGCAAAGCTGAAATGAGTTAAAAGAGAGGCAAGATTAATGTTTTTAATTTGTAAGCAGTCATGTTACTAGACAACACATATTGCCTTTCTTCAACAAGGAAGAGAACGAGGGCCTAAAATTTGTCTCATTCATACTACTCCCTGGACCAGTTCTGGGTACACAGAGATTCCTAAGCTAGGATTCACTATCTTGAACTTAAGGCATTAAACCTAAAATAAACAAAGGATAACTGAGCAAAAGGTCGTCGTCATTCTTCTTCAAGCCTTAATTACCTTAGTCCAACACTGTAGAGAAAAGCTATTTTTACCAAGACCTTTTAACTAAAGACGCCCTTACTACCTTGCCCTGAATTCTGTGTTCATCCCTATTTACATAATGCTCTGGACATTTGAAATATGGTATAATAGTATACTATCCCAATTTAGTTAAGAGCAAAGTACAAATGTGCTGTTTTTCATTTCTAGCAAAGTTAATAGAACTAAACAAGTCTTGAATATTATATAGGAATAAACAGCCATTGTGCTTACATGAGAGCTGCAGTTTATCAGAGCCATGGGATTCGTTTATATGATATTTCCAGGATGAAAAGAAAAGTAGTTTCCAAATAAAAATGTGTAATTGCTCAGAAAGGCTAATTATTACCATCCTATCACCCTTGTCTAGATATGCCCCATGGACATATTACTGAGGAATGATGCTGTAACAATTTTCCAGAACTCCGAGGGGAAAATATCACTCTCAAATAGAGAACTGGGTAGAATACACAATTACAAGTGGCATGCCAATTCATCAAATGTCATCAGAGCTTAACCACACGTCTCAGGTTATGGTATCATTTAGTTACAAGATAATCAAGGTTTCTCCAAAGCAAACATGGCAGAAATGCTGAAAAATGGTATTAATAAATGAGAAAGTAACTCTGTGGTTCAATAGAAAAGTAAATAGCATAACTGTATTGGTCTAGAAAAGCATAAGACTGTGAAATAGAAGCACATAATAAATTTACTAAATATATATCTGAGCTGTAATAGAAACCTGTCTAAAAAAACAACATTGTAGGGCTGGAGAGATGGCTCAGCCATTAAAGGCTAGGCTCACAACCAAAAATATAAAAAAAACAACATTGTAGAGGTGCTCTC